GTATTCTCCAGTCTAGTAGGCTCTATTATTTGCTGGTTTAAATTGAATTTTGTGCAGAGATTTAAAAGCTCGTGTGAGTGTGAGTTTTCATCAGAGCTGCCTCCTGGTGTTATTACAAGTACTGACTGATGTTGTAGTGGCCAGGTCTAGGCTTGGTTACAAGTACTGACTGATGCTGTAGTGGCCAGGTCTAGGCTTGGGTACAAGTACTGACTGACGTTGTAGTGGCCAGGCCTAGGCTTACCTGGACCTGGAGTTTACCTGGAGAGAGTTCCGGGGGTCAACGCCCTCGCGGCCCGGTCTGTGACCAGGCCTCCTGGTGGATCAGAGCCTGATCAACCAGGCTGTTACTGCTGGTTGCACGCAATCCAACGTACGAGCCACAGCCCGGCTGGTCAGGTACCGACTTTAGGTGTTTGTCCAGTGCCTGCTTGAAGACAGCCAGGGGTCTATTGGTAATCCCCCTTATGTATGCTGGGAGGCAGTTGAACAATCTGAGGCCCCTGACACTTATTGTATTGTCTCTTATCGTGCTAGTGACACCCCTGCTTTTTATTGGGGGGATGCTGCATCGTCTGCCGAGTCTTTTGCTTTCGTTGTGAGTGATTTTCGTGTGCAAGTTCGGTACTAGTCCCTCTAGGATTTTCCAGGTGTATATAATCATGTATCTCTCCCGCCTGCGTTCCAGGGAGTACAGGTTCAGGAACTTCAAGCGCTCCCAGTAATTGAGGTGTTTTATCTCCATTATGCGCGCCGTGAAGGTTCTCTGTACATTTTCTAGGTCAGTAATTTCACCTGCCTTGAAAGGTGCTGTTAATGTGCAGCAATATTCGAGCCTAGATAGAACAAGCGGCCTGAAGAGTGTCATCATGGGCTTGGCATCCCTAGTTTTGAAGGTTCTCATTATCCATCCTGTCATCTTTCTAGCAGATGCGATTGATACAATGTTATGGTTCTTGAAGGTGAGATCCTCCGACATGATCACTCTCAGGTCTTTGACGTTGGTTTTTCGCTCTATTTTGTGGTCGTAATTTGTTTTGTACTCTGATGAAGTTTTAATTTCCTCATGTTTACCATATCGGAGTAATTGAAATTTCTCATCGTTGAACTTCAAGTACTGACTGATGTTGTAGTGACCAGGTCTAGGCTTGGGTACAAGTACTGACTGATGTTGTAGTGGCCAGGCCTAGGCTTGGTTACAAGTACTGACTGATGCTGTAGTGGCCAGGCCTGGGCTTAATTACAAGTACTGACTGATGTTGTAGTGGCCAGGTCTAGGCTTGGTTACAAGTACTGACTGGTGTTGTAGTGGCCAGGTCTAGGCTTGGTTACAAGTACTGACTGATGTTGTAGTGGCCAGGTGTAGGCTTGGTTACAAGTACTGACTGATGTTGTAGTGGCCAGGTCTAGACTTGGTTACAAGTACTGACTGGTGTTGTAGTGGCCAGGCCTGGGCTTAATTACAAGTACTGACTGATGTTGTAGTGGCCTGGTCTAGGCTTGGTTACAAGTACTGACTGGTGTTGTAGTGGCCAGGTCTAGGCACTGACTGATGTTGTAGTGCCCAGGTCTAGGCTTGGTTACAAGTACTGACTGATGTTGTAGTGGCCAGGCCTGGGCTTAATTACAAGTACTGACTGATGTTGTAGTGACCAGGTCTAGGCTTGGTTACAAGTACTGACTGATGTTGTAGTGGCCAGGCCTGGGCTTAATTACAAGTACTGACTGATGTTGTAGTGGCCAGGTCTAGGCTTCGTTACAAGTACTGACTTATGTTATAGTGGCCAGACCTAGGCTTGATTACATGTACTTCTGGCAGTTTGGGAGACACACAGATGATGATCAAACCAAATGTAAAGTATGTGACCGATCCTATGATCATTATATTGAACACTGCGTGCTTTATTATCCTCTTATTAAGGAATATAGAGAAAGGCAGCATAATAACTCATTGGATATGGCAATATATCTTATTAATGATACTGGAGGGACATATTAAGCAAATCTCTTAAATTTGTTTCAACAGATAAGTCAACCGTAGATCTAAATTCAGATGTAATCATGTTTACCCTCTTGGGACCTAGTTTCTAGGTCTTTTGTATCCATATGCTCTTGTGCTACCTCACCAAAGGATGGATATGAGGTGGACAATAACTTAACGCTTCAGAGGCAAATTATAAAAATCTTATACCATATTCAAGGGACATGTCAGTTACATAGTGATAACATCGGCAGTATACAGCTACCCTCTTTCCGTATAAAAATATGTTAGCCTAACTAAACTAGAAGGCGATGAATATATGGCTAAGTATTCCACTATGGGCTCTTCTACTGCGGGAGCTTGATGATACAGTGATAACGTATACCTACAGTATATAAATAAGACATATAATGTAGATTGTGGCACTGTATTATAAAGACATTTCGTTCCTTAGGGACTTGATCAGTCCCTCAATGACGCAGCGTCTTCACAACACTATGTCATAACCCGCATTGCCTGTCTTGTTTACATAAACCAAAGGGAGCTTCAGAAGTATCGTCCCATCAGAGCTTTAAGTACGTCGGTATCGCCTTCCTACTTGTAACATGTTACCACCCCTTGGGATGGCCTTTAAGCAGAGAAAAAGAAAATAATGATTATGCCGGCATCTAAGATGTTAGACAGCTACTTGTACGAGTCACTGAAAGACAGAAAGTGGAAGATTAATATATTGGTGCGTTACGACCATACTAACCATACCACGGGTGGGGTTTGAATCCGTGGTTCAAACCCCACCCGTGGTATGGTTTGTTTGCAGTCGTGTCATTACGATTTCGTGAGTCAAGTTACGACCATATACCTGGGCTGCTGGTGGCACCCACTACTAGTACAACATCGTAATGATTACATATGATAGATGCCATTTAAAGTACTCATAAAAATGGTACTAAGTTTCAAGAAATAATTCATTTCATATTACGTATGTCAACTGAGACTTTTATACTGGAAAATTTATTACTTATAATCTAGAGAATCAAAAGTCACAGCACTGTCAATGGAACAATACACAAATAACCCTTACTGGGGAGAGGGAGCTTATGTCGACGTTTCAGTACGATTTGACCCATTGGCAAGTCAGATTGAAACGGGTCTAAACTAACTCTCAGGTTAGGGGAAAACAGGGAAGTAAGGATAAATAAACAATAGCACCAGAGAGGAGTGCCTTCGAAGTCATGATGGCCGAGGTGGTGATGATCTTCCTCATCGTTAAAGCAGACGGCAGTGAAAAACTCTTTAATACTGAGGAAGTTGGACAGTTTCACGTGCAGGTTGGCCCTCAGGAGTGTTGCCAGAATCATTTTTTCCGCCATATCCGAGATGATCTGAAGTGAGCGAATGTGCACACGGTGCACCATGATATTGTTGTTGTTCACAAGCAGTCGTAGTAGTAAGAGTAGCAGTAGTAGAGTATTGAAGAAGTGAACGCGTTCAGTTATTTAGGAACTGACTTGTCAGTTAATGGGTTTATGAAGGATGAGGCAAACCATAGAACTGATGAAGAAAAAAAAGTGAGTGGTGCGTTGAGGTATCTGTAGAGACAAGGAACGTTATCCATGGAGGCAAAGAAGGGAATGTACGAGAGTATAGTGGTACCAACACTCTTATATGGGTGTGAAGCTTGGGTTGTAAATGCTGCAGCGAGGAGGCTGGAGGCAGTGGAGATGTCCTGTCTAAGGGCAATGTGTGGTGTGAATATTATGCAGAGATTCGTAGTGTGGAAATTAGGAGAAGGTGTGGAGTTACTAAAAGTATTAGTCAGAGGGCTGAAGAGGGGTTGTTGAGGTGGTTTGGTCATTTAGAGAGAATAGAACAAAGTAGAATGACTTGGTGAGCGTATAAATCTATTGGGGAGGGAAGGCCGGGTAGGGGTCGTAAGGTTGGAGGGAGGGAGTAAAGGAGGTTTTGTGGGTGAGGGGCTTGGACTTCCAGCAAGAGTGCGTGAGCGTGTTAGATAGGAATGAATGAAGACGAATGGTTTTTGGGACCTGACGAGCTGTTGGAGTGTGAGCAGGGTAATGTTTTGTGAAGAGATTCAGGGAATCGGATTGCTGGATTTGGGTCCTGGAAATGAGAAGTACAATGCCTGCACTTTAAAAGAGGAGTTTGGGATATTGGCAGTTTGGAGGGACATCTGAGCAGTTGTATCCCAGCGCCTCTGCAAAGACAGTGATGGTGAAAGTATTGAATGATGATGAAAGTGTTTTCTTTCTTTTTGGGTCACCCTGCCTCGGTGGGAGACGGCCGACATGTTGAATATATATATATATATATATATATATATATATATATAATATATATATATATATATATATATATATATATATATATATTATATATATATATTATATATATATATATATATATATATATATAATATATATATATATATATATATATATAATATATATATATATATATGTCGTGTCGAATAGGCAGAACTTGCGATCTTGGCTTAAATAGCAACGCTCATCTTGCCATACAGGACAAGCGAAAATTTGTGTATGCAATAATTTCGCCAAAATCATTCTGAACCTAACGAAAAAAAATATATTTCACTGTGTTTGTTTAGTATTAAATTATTGTAAACAAATCTAAAATATATTTAGTTGGGTTAGGCTAAAATAAATTGTTCTTGTTATAATAAGGTTAGGTAAGTTTTCTAAGATTCTTTTGGTGCAAAATTAAAATTTTTTACATTAACATTAATGAAAAAAAATATATCTTTAAACGTATAAGAGAAAATTTTAGAAAGGGCTTAATTTTAAATGAGTTCTTGTTAATTGACCAGTTTTACATATTCGGCACGACATATATATATATATATATATATATATTATATATATATATATATATATAATATATATATATATATATATATATATATATATATATCATATATAGATAGATATATGTAATGTCTTCTCACTGCTAGATGAACACAGAGTGTATGGTGTTGCAGGCTACCCTGAGTGTGGCAGAGGTATGGCTGGCAGCACCATGACCACACCATCGGGCATCTCAATCACTCTGGGCACTCCCATCCCAACCCACGCCCACCCTCACGCCCACCACCATCACCACCCCCACCACCTCAACCCGCACGTTCACCAGCACCACGCCCCCGGCCCGTCTTTCTCAATCGCGACGCCCATGGTGACTACGCCCACCTCCGGCGGCAGTGCGGGTGGCACCTCGCCCACTCACACCTCCACGCCCATCACCTTCACCACCCTCACCGCTGGCGCCCTCAAGAGGAAACAAAGACGATATAGGTGAGTCTTGAGTCTTAAAATGGTATAAAATACCGACAGGTTGTTAGGTAAGACACATATGCAACAGTTGGTATCTTTTTTTTCGAAACGTTTCCCCTACCAGTAGGTTTTCGTGAGTACGAAAAGTTGATAGAAGCGAAGATATTTTAAGACGTGTAATCGTCCATCCCCCTTAAAAGTTTTGAGGTGGTCAGCCCCCTCAGTTGGAGAAGAGCATTGTTCCTATTGAAAAAATAGAAGGAAAAGTGACAGGATGGACCCTTTAAAATAGTGCCGGGGTGAGCTTTAGGTTGCTTTGGGAGGTCGGTCCCCTCAAACCCAGCCTTTCATAGTAAGGTTGTCGAAGTTGATGGTCTGTACCAAGAACCTTGGGTTTTGCAGTTTACAACGTCTTCAAGTATCTTTGCCCTTTTTCAATTTTCTGTACTCGATGAAGAAAACCTACTGTGTAGGCGAAACGTTTCGAAAAAAAAAATACCAACTGTTGCATATGTGTCTTACCTAACGGTCTTGAGTCTTTTGACTTCTTCAGTAATAAAAATAAAAATAAAAATTATTATTTTGTTTATTATGTCAAAAAGTAGATATGATAATGATTAAATACCAACGCTTTGGTTTGGGAAAGTTGCCTCACCATTTAGTGTCGTGGTTCAATCCCGGCCCGGTAGAAACATTTGGCAAGTTTTTTGACCCGTGTGTCCCGTTCACTAAAATAAGTAGGATCTGGGTGTTAGTCGACTGGGGTGGGGGGCTCCTGGGGGACAAGTACCCACTTCTAAACAGAGAAAACCCCGTGATTTTTAGGTTATCCGGGTGGTTAACCCCCCCCTGGGTTATCCTGAGTGGTTAACCCTCTCCTGGGTTTTCCCCGAGTGGTTAACCCCTCCGGGTTATCCCGGGTGGTTAACCCTCCTGGGGTTTTCCTGAGTGGTTAACCCTCTCCTGGGTTATCCCGGGGGGTAACCCTCCCCGGGTTTTCCTGAGTGGTTAACCCTCTCCGGGGGTTTTCCTGGGTGGTTAACCTCCCCTGGGTTATCCCGAGTGGTTAACCCTCCCCCGGGGTTTTCCTGGGTGGTTAACCCTCTCCGGGGTATCCTGGGTGGTTAACCCTCCCCTGGGTTATCCCGGGTGGTTAAATACCCCTGGGTTATTTTTTGGGGGGTTAACTAAAACCCGGGTTTCCTGGGTGGTTAAACCCTCCCCCGGGTTATCCTGGGTGGTTTAAAATATCCCCCGGGTTATCCTGGGTGGTTAAATATACCCCGGGTTATCCTGGGGGGGTTTTCCTCCCCCGGGTTATCCTGGGTGGTTAACATCCCCCCGGGGTTTTCCCGGGTGGTTAACCCTCCCCTGGGGTTTTCCCGGGTGGTTAACCCCCCCCCTGGGTTATCCTGGGTGGGTTTAAACCCTCTCCGGGTTTCCCGGGTGGTTAACCTTCCCGGGTTATCCTGGGTGGTTAACCCTCTCCTGGGTTATCCTGGGTGGTTAACCCTCTCCTGGGTTATCCTGGGTGGTTAACCCTCTCCTGGGTTATCCTGGGTGGTTAACCCTCTCCTGGGTTATCCTGGGTGGCTAACTATCCCCTGGGTTATCCTGGGTGGTTAACCCTCCCCTGGGTTATCCTGGGTGGTTAACCTTCCCCTGGGTTATCCTGGGTGATTAACCTTCCCCTGGGTTATCCTGGGTGGTTAACCCTCCCCCAGGTTATCTTGGGTAGTTAACCCTCCCCGGGTTATCCTGGGTAGTTAACCCTCCCCGGGTTATCCTGGGTGGCTAACCCTCTCCTGGGTTATTCTGGGTGGCTAACCCTCTCCCAGGTTATCCTGGGTGGTTAACCCTCCCCCGGTTATCCTGGGTAGTTAACGCTCTCCTGGGTTATCCTGGGTGGTTAACCCTCCCCGGGTTTTCCTGGGTGGTTAACCCTCCCCGGGTTAACCTGGGTGGGTAACCGTAACCCTCCCCCGGGTTATCATGGGTGGCTAACCCTCCCCCGAGTTATCCTGGGTGGTTAACCCTCCCCTGGGTGGTTAACCCTCCCCTGGGTTATCCTGGTGTAGACAGCCTGTACTGTCTGCACAGATAGCCCATGCCGTCTGCCAGCTTAGTTCATATTTCGTGCCATTCAAGTGTTGCCCTCTGTAGCCAGGCCTCTCAGTGGGCACGCCAGCCTGCCGGCCCTTGCCACGCTCTCACTCACACAGCGGCCTGGCATCAAGACACAAGGCCTCCCAGCTCTCTCTCGTGGGCATGGCCCTGCCTGGGCCATGGGCACAAACACACAAGCCTGTGTAACCCACAACGACTTAACAATAAACAAAGAAGCCTCCGAAGAAGATATATCATTTAACAACCCGCTACAGCTACAAAACAAGCATCGTTATAAATGGTGACAGCGGTGCTTGCAGCAGTTGTGTTTGCCTGGAGAGAAGGAGGAAGAGTTATGAAGTCATCTTCACTTCATCACCCTACACAAGAAGCATCCGTCTCTCAACGAGTTATCCGGATGTTGTGTCTGCACGTTTGAGCATCCAGACACAGGTACAAGCAGGATCCAGCCGAAATTTGCCGAATTTCTTCGAGAATTGTGAGTGGCGTCCCAGTGACTCCACGCTACAGTGTCCCATGTTGTTTCTCAAGTCACGTGTTCAGCGTCACTTGTATGTTGCTGTTGTTGTTGTTCAGCTCAGCACAGCCGTTTCAGCAAGCCAGAGGTGAGTTTTGTGGTGATTTCTGCATCCAGTGTGAGCTTCTCCACGTGTTTGTGGGTGGGGGAGGAGAGGAGAGGAAGTGGCTGTTCCTCACCTTGCCCATGCTCGCCCTACTCACGCTCACCCGTCTACCATACACCACTCACCACTGCCCACTCCCTCTGCTGTGTTTTCTGCTGTTTTTCGTATGAATTCATTGCCAGTGCTGTGTATCCGAGTGCCCGAGGCCACTCGAAGCTACGTGGATTACGACGTCACGTGGGTGTGGCCGATGTCACGTAGACCTACAAAGCCACGTGAGTTACCAGATGTCCCAAGGCACACATGCTGTGGTCTGCTGCCCGCCATCACATCGACGCCACCCACGATGCTGCCCGACTTCATGACGTCACGATGTCTGTTGACGTCACCTCACGATGTCTGCTGACGTCACCTCACGATGTCTGCCTGACGTCACCTCGAGATGTCTGTTGACGTCACTGCTGCTGACGTCACCTTGCGACATCACGCCTGACATCACATGATGTCACATCGAGTGTTCTAGTAATTATTTCAGTATTGTCGAGAAGATTGAGAGAAGATATATGTCGTGTGTTAATTAATTCCTCTCAGTCAGTGTTCTCACATTTTAGTATATGTCTTAGTGTCAGTTTTATGCGCAGAAAAGCATCTTTTGCTAGTTTAAGCCATGTTGTACCGTATGTACAGCGGTGTGTTTGTAAAGTTTCCGTGTGTCCAGTGAGGTCTGGCCCAGCCAGACCTGAGTAGCACCACTGTGTTAAGTCACCCGCCTGACCAGTGTTTGACAGCTGATTTCTCAGCCCTGAGCGTATGAGCCCCTTTGTACAGAAAGCTTTTATGCTCGTCGCTCGTGTTGTTCTGCAGAATCGTACCTGCTACGATTCCCATCGAGATTTGTTTCACTTCACCTCCAGACCGTCAGAGTGCAGTTATATTTAGAGAAACAAGTCTGGGGACGCTTAGGCTAACCTCTGCTATAACTCCAACTGTCGAGAGATGATACTCGTCAAGCCGCAGCCAGGCCTGTCGGCAGGCGCTGTGTCAGCCTCGTGTCACAAGCTTCAGTGAGCAGCCTGCACAAAGAAGATGTCACTTTGACTGCTAGCTCGCTCATTGCAGTCTTGTGTATGATGTTACGACTCCCAGATGTTTCGCCCAGTCGTCTCTGCCACGACTCGCTCCACGCTCGCCGGCAGTGACAGCCCAGCGAGAGTACCAGTCGAGAAGTGTCCTCCTGAGTCGCTTGCCAGAAGTCCTGCCCAGTTGCCGAGTTTTGTCGATGCCACACTCGAGGGCACCAGCATGTCGTGCCCCAGGTTGAGTGAAACCTGCAGCGACTCCTACGATGTCTGCTTCACCGTTCCAGAGGAGACCGTACCCTGTTACATCACAGCTCAGCCGCAGCGATGTCTCCCGTGTTGCAGTATCTGTCCAGACGCAGGAAGGCGTGCAGTGATGGACTTCGATGCTCACTGCCTTTGACCACGATGTTTAGCACACCCCACATGTTTTTTTCTTCCCTCCCTGTAGGAAGTTTTTTTTCCATGTCCGTATATATATATATATATGTTTTTATTTTGTGTTCTGTGCCCTGCTCCTACGAGAGAGAGACCGATTTCCTTTTACCACCAGTATTGCCGCGTCGGGACGACGCGCGGTAGGTGGCCGAGCATATGTAGACAGCCTGTACTGTCTGCACAGATAGCCCATGCCGTCTGCCAGCTTAGTTCATATTTCGTGCCACTCAAGTGTTGCCCTCTGTAGCCAGGCCTCTCAGTGGGCACGCCAGCCTGCCGGCCCTTGCCACGCTCTCACTCACACAGCGGCCTGGCATCAAGACACAAGGCCTCCCAGCTCTCTCTCGTGGGCATGGCCCTGCCCGGGCCATGGGCACAAACACACAAGCCTGTGTAACCCAACACTAGTTATCAATAAAGTAAGAAGCCTCCGAAGAAGTATATCATTCACACCCCGCTACAGCCTACCAAACAACCCAGTTATAAATGGTGGGCTCACCTTGCCCATGCTCGCCCTACTCACGCTCACCCGTCTACCATACACCACTCACCACTGCCCACTCCCTCTGCTGTGTTTTCTGCTGTTTTCCATGTGAATTCATTGCCAGACCTGAGTAGCACCACTGTGCTAAGTCACCCGATGTGACCAGTGCGTATGACAGCTGATTACTCAGCCCTGAGCGTATGAGCCCCCTTGTACAGAAAGCTTTTATGCTCGTCGCTCATGTTGTTCTGCAGAATCGTACCTGCTACG